TTGAGACCAGCCTGCGCAACTTGGAGAGACCTCCTCTGTACAATAAAAAATTAAAAATTAAAAAATTATCCAGGTGTGGTGTCACGTGCCTGGTAGTTCCAGCTACTTGGAAGGCTGAGGTGGAAGGATCGTGTGAGTCCAGCCGGTCAAGGCTGTGATGACCATGAGCATGCCACTGCACTCCAGCCTGGGTGACAGAGTAAGACTCCCCCCCCCAAAAAATAAAAAGTAGCCAGGTGCACTGGTGATGCATGCCTGTAGTCCCAGCTACTGAGAGGCTGAGGCAGAACTCCCTGAGCCCAGGAGTTCTAGGCTGCAGTGAGCCATGATGGTGCCACCGCAGTCCAACCTGGACAACAGATGAAACCCAACTCAAAAAGGAAAAAAAAAAACCCTTTATATATTCTTATAAAAGTAATCAATGTTTTAGTTGCTTCTTCACTGTTCCTAGAAATGCTGTTGCATGTGTTCTGACCTCAGCATACATGAATAAGTAAATGCTGGGGATAATTTGGCTCTTGAATACTGAGGTCCATTTTCAGGCACCGTTAGCTCAGGAATGCTGGGAGGGACCCAGTTCTAGTGAGCATGGACAATCAGGCCCTTCCTGCTGACTGAGGTGATTTCTGTACCACCCACACAGAAGCAGAGGGACTCTGGCTCAGCATCACATACAGGCTGCCAATTTAGAGAAACTATTCAGGAAAGGCGTTGAGGTGAGTTTCTAAACTCAGGGATTGCAAAGGGCCAAATAAACTACTTGGAATTTTTTTGCAAATATTTCAGAGCCGCGTATTGACATATTAGAAACGATTAGAAAAGATAAATGACAACCTGAATTAAGTCATGTGACTGTAACTGAAAGGTGAAATCTATTGGTATTTATGAACACTTCTAATCTTACCACAATCAGAGAGAGAGAAAGAAACATTGATGCATGGATCACTTGGGACAGTTTATCCAAAAATAGTCATACAAATGAACCTATTTCAAAGCAAATTAGGAAGTTCAGGTTAAAATCTGATGCATAACCTTAATATGCATCATATTTTTATTCTCGCGCTTAAAATACATCTCTTTTTAAAAACTAATATCCCACAATGCTATCCTACCACTTAGACTATGTGTCCTTTCTTCTGAATAATAGATGAGCCGTGAATACATTAATTTTGAAACAACCATAGCAATTTCTTGACTTAAAACTATTCCGTGGATACTCTTTTGGGCAACTCCTTACATTAACTGAGCTAAAATATAGTTCTCTAGTTTTATAGATGGTCTTGGTGCTTAAATTCAGATCTACCAAAACAAAAAGACACAGAATTCTTGGCCAAAACTGGGAAAGGATTTAGCCTCTGCTCCTCTTTAGAATGGGATGCCTGATCATCAAAACAACTCCAGCAGAATTACAGGACTGTGAGCACAAAGGCATGTTGATGCCCCTGCAGGATCAAACTTCTCAGGACCCTTATTCAAAAGTTAAATTACCCAGTCTATTCTCCTATGCACATTGAGAACAAAGCCTTCTCTGATCCATACAGAAAAATTACATGTCTGATAATCTAAATAAATTCAAGCAGAATTAAAAGACAATGGACACAAAGTTTGTTGCTAACAGTTTATACATGAACAGACGATACAATCTATTGCCATATATTTATTAGCAACAAAGGCTATGCTGACCCATGCATTAGTAAAAAAAAAAAAAAAATCCATTGCTATCGCAAGTGAGGATACATACAAAGTCGTTTTTTATATAAAACGTAGGTAAAACCTGAATATAAGTAAATACAGTCCCACACTACCTGCAGAAAATCATTTTGACTCAATGTACAGAGAATTCTTTGCTCTGTGGACTTTGTGCTAAAGTTCAAGGTAGCCTGCATTTCATGGTTAGCTTTCTACTCTCATCCCTGGTTCAGAATACTTGAAATACTGTCTTCTTCTAGTACCATGCAAACACTCTAGGAATTTGATGCTTTCCAGAATAATCTGTGCTTGTTATGTAAGTACAATCAAGGACACTTTTTCAGAACAGAACAAAAGAGATTAGATTCACTTTAGTTTGAATTGTCTAAAGAGAGTTCTCAGTCGTGGATTTGTTAATAGCTTTTGTTCAAATAATGGAAACAAAATCATGCATTTTTATTAGTCACCCAAGAAGCCTTTTGGTTTCAAGTTCTTCTTGAGAGCTCAGTCACCGGACTCTTCTTTTAACAAGTTGGAAAATGTCTTGCCTGATTAGGAAGTTAGTCATTTCACATTTTGACATCTGAAACAATGGGAAGTCAAAACAACCTCACAAATTACATTTATAAGTAACAGGATCTGTCACTTTAAAGCTGAAAAGCTCAAGAATTTGTGACGCCTTTCTTTGTTCCTGTTAATCCTATTTTACTTTTTGAGTGTCATATGTTTTGTAAATATCTACATTTGAATTTGAACAATAACTGTTGATAATTAGTTCTCTAACTTGGTATAAAAACATTACTTTCTATGAGCAGGTTTTGTATTCTGAGAGCTAACTTTCCTTCTGTGTTTGATGTTTTCATCAATCAGTATTATTCCAGCCCAAATACTGTCTTCCTCATTCCATTTTAAAAGCTAATATAGTCTTAAACACTGTGTTGCCTAGTTCCAAAAGAAATGGTGAAGTCGAATTTGGGAAATGTTCTTATAATTCCTATTTTCTGGAGATTGTTTATCCCTTCTTGTTTTAGAAGTTGCCTCAGCCCTGGTTGCAGACATCCCCTGGGGCTTTTCTTTTCCATTTATTTTGTCCATTTACGGTTAACGTATTAGGAGTTTTGCTACTGAGAGATTAAAATAAATCTGCTCGAAGGAGCTTTCTCAAAACTCCTGCACTGACCACTGCCTTCTTCTCCAGCTCCATTGGTATCCTTTCAAAACAGGTGATATTAAGGCTACCAGGTTTAAGGATTAGAAATAAGCTACATCTTTTCATGTAGTTCTGAGAGGGGAAGTGCCTCTTTATTTGTATATACTGAAAAAGAAGAGAGAAAATCCATCATAATAGAAATCCCCTCGATAACAGGCCTTACGGCTGCGGTGACTCCTTCGGTACCCGCATGGCTGTGCTAAGCGTCACTCCTGCCCAGCCTCCCCGCTATCGCAGCGTTGTCCCAGGACAGATGGGCAGGAACGTGGCCCCGAACACAATCAGGTTACGCAAAAGCTACACGCTTAACATAGTAACGCTATCATCTGCATCAGGGGTCCCCAAACCCCGAGCCAGGGACCAGGAGCGGTCCCTGGCTTGTTAGGAACCAGGCCGCACTGCAAGAGGTGAGCAGCCAGCAGAGCTCCGAACCGCAGCCGGCCCATGATTTTATCTACTACTTCTGCGCCTCTTTTTTTTTTTTTCTTTCTTTCTTTTTTACAATGAGTTGTATCATTATTTAATTATATGTTGCAGAGTAATAATAATAGAAATAAAGTGCATAACAAATGTCATGCGCTTGAATCATCTCAAAACCACTACCCTCCCCCCCCAAATTGTCTTCCTTGAAATCCGTCCCTGATGCCAAAAAGGTTGGAGACCACTGATTCTACATTGCTTTTGGTTTATAGCTCAAAAAATGTATACTGGGGGGTGATGCCAGTACTGTATTTTATCCATTGTATATGGCCATTGATTTAGTATTTATTGAATCCGATGGAATCAGCAGTTCGATCTAGGCGCGCACGCGCACACAAATTCCACTTGCTTCACGATTGTATTTCATTTGATTTAAGTATATTTTTTCATGCTATTTTATTTCATCATTTCCCCCCACTGGGAGAGAAGATAAGCATCATTATATTTAACTGGTATTCACATCTTTTTTATAATTAGAATTTCTTTCTATAAGAGTTGAACTTTTTGAGATGGCATATTGAGAGAAAACAATAGATGATGAATTGAACAGAAGAAATGGGAGAAAGAAGAAGAGGGTGAAAACCCTAACTGACAAAGACAGGAAAGCCAGAAAGTTCAAAAAGATCATGCGCTGGTCTTTTTGGAGACCAAAGAAGACCGTATTTGTCAAAAGTCTGTCTTGACAGGTGATTTAATTTCAACCCTATGTCCACTCGTCCATAAGGTATAAATACAATTCTCAAAAATCGTCAGCTGTTAAGAGTGTTATTGTGCACGGACACTGTGAATGCATTTATTGGAGAAGTCCACGTGGACATCTAACAATAGGCCCACCCAGGAGCCAAGGCAGAGTGGCCAGGGTAGACATCTCTTGCACTGAGCTCTTCGTCTTAGAAAGTTTGTTTCCTCATCGGCATGTCTCTCCTCTTTTGTCTCAGGGTGTGGATAAATAAGAAACTCCACAAAATAATGCACAATATTAAAAATTATTTTTCTGAGACCAGCACCATTCTGCCAACCATTTCTAATGAATTCATCTCAGTTGCTGTGCATCCATCAGACCCTTCATTGGGAAGAAGCAGTGTCCAATACTAAAACAGAATGGGTTTGTAGTAACCATTTATTTCCTTTGCCTTAAAAAAATAGAAATGAATCTCATCTTTCTTGATGATGTCCTCAAAATATGCATGGAATTTGTCACATGTCCTCTGCTAATGAATTGACCCACACATTGTAAGGCAATGATTTTAAAGTACCAGGGTAACTTTTAAAATTCTGGAAGAGGGCTCAACAAATTATTCTTTCAGGTTTAGAGAACAAAAAATTTGTACAAACGTTTGTAAAAGAAATTTAATTTTTTTAAAATGAAAACTCTTTTTCATTTTCATCCTTTAATGATAACCATTAAACAAAAACTCAAAAACAAAAATGTATGGTTATTGGACCATGATTTAACTTGAATAGAATTATAAATTCTGCCCATCTTATTAAACATTGATTTAAATAAGACTAATAATAATGTGATAACAACTTGTAGGTACATCGAAAACAAAAACACACTTACATGATATTTTGCTTCACATGCTAGTGAACAAATTATGCATCATTTTTTTTTCTACAGGAAAACTGAAGACTTTAATAACAAAACCTCCAAGGTCAATATGAATACAGGTATGCTGTCTCTGTTAGTTTTAAACTTTAGCCTTGCTCTCTAAAAATAATCTTGTCCCTGAATTATTAGCTTAGCACTCTGCTGATTCTAAATGTGATACTGAATCTCTAATTAGATGTGTATTCTAGATACATTGCTTTATTTCTCTGTATTTATGTTCCAATCCTATAGCCATTACAAGTAGAATTTTCTGTCCTGTTACCTGCTCTTACTTCCTTTTTCTCTAATCAGCATTTGAAGTTAACGCCTGTACCGCTAGGAAGAGATGGCATGCTATTTGTATGTGTACATTTGAAATCTCTCGCTTAAAACAGGCCAAATTCAAAAGTAAGTTGCTCTAATGGAAAATATTTAAACTTTCCCATTCTATAAACTTTTTATGTTGGCAAAGTCCGCAGATAGAGTGCCAAAGCTTCATACAAATAGGCACAATACACATAACGCTATACATGTTATATTTTTCGATGTAAGAATAGTATCTACAAACATCTTAACAACATTTGTGCCTTGGAACTCTGTATTGTGGCATTTTAATTATAAAAGTGTTTCCGATACATGCTATGTACATACGAATTTTTTGCCACAGTAGAAATATTTTGGTTTATCATTTTTACCTTTTCTTTCTTGAAATATACACTATTAAATAATTCAGGAAAACAACTTGCTCACTGAAATTTCGTCACGTGTTTAAGGGATACCATTTGCTATTCACAAATGAGCACTGAAAAGTTGTTTTAGCCTGTCATCCCACGGCAGAGGAGAAGGGACCCAAGATAGGCTCTCACACCCAGCTGGTCGCCTTTCTGTTGTCTCTGCTGTTCCTAAGTGTGACACTGAACTTCTGATTTGATTAGATATGTATTCTAGATTCATTACGTTGTGTCAAAGTGCCTCCAAGGAGGCTAACAACCACTGGCAAGAACCAATATCTCATGGTTCTTGTAGAGAGCCATGTGCCAACTTCCTGCAGCTGCCCCTGAGCAGCAGCCTGCACCCTCTGGGCTCCGAGAAGACGATGTCAGTGGGCTCCTGAGGGTGCAGCCCTCTTGTAGACATGTGGAGCACTGGACAACAGGCAAGGTGAGGTTGTTGGAGACAGTCAAAATACACCAGGAAGGACTTAGAAATCAAGAAGTATCATTACCCTGGAAATGAACCACATAAAGGCATTTTGACCATTGATGTCAGAATTAGACATGGAAGATGAGAGAAATATCATTAGGCAAAGTAGCCTGAAGGAAGCAAATAGAACATAAAGCCCACGGCTGGACCAGGATAAGCCATGCTGTGGAGCTACAAAGTCACTCCCACAGTACCCACCTGAGGAAGTTATGTTTTCTGATTGTTCTGAGGTATCTCTGCAGACTTAAGTTGAGCATAACTTCCCAATATTCCTTAGTTTGTTGAGTGCTGATTTTTATACTTATTATAACCTGTGATGACAGAGGTATGCATATATTATTATACTAAATATACTGTATCCACATACAATACATTCAGTAATTGATCTTCCTATTCATGTCTTCCAATCTCTAGTAGCAAAGTAGCACACAGAAACTTGTAAACTTGTTTTGGTTTCTGTGGCACTTGAGCCAATTTACTGCTTAGCAGCATGAATATAAGTCTCTAAAGCATCCTCTCGTTTAAAAAAAGTGATCTTGACTCTGGAAGGCTAACTTACACAGGATTATTTTGCTTAGGTGAATTTACATTTCTGTATAAGGCGTGTCAAATTTGATATTCAAACTTATGCATAAAAATTTATTAGAAGTGACTGAAAGTTTGTGTTGGAAATTCCAAGGTAATACTATAATGTTGTTATAAAAACATACCACTTTTAAAACTATAGATAAATATTGAATTAGGAAGTTGAGACCATTCTTGCTATGATTAGAAAGTGAAGTAGATATCAGTTCCTAAATAGCTAGTAAATAAAATTGGCCTGCATTATTTACCCATCAATCCTTAAGGAGATATATTACTATTTAATGTTCAGGTGTCAGTCACTAAGGATAAAAAAAATCTTAAATTAGATCTTTGCTTTGAAACTAGCCAAGGGGAATGTGGTTCATTTTTCATATTAAAGTATCTAAATGGTTTAGAAAAATAAACAAAACATGCTATATCTTCACTCTTAGAATTGGTAACCCATATTTTCTAAGGCGTATCTTGGCTATTGAAGGAAAGAGAGAGAGAAAGACATCAAATAATTCACCATATGTGGTTTTCCCATATGCTAGTTTTCTAGCCATGGAAACAGCTTTCAGGAGTCTTGCAAGAGTCGCCTGGCAAGCGGCAGGTTATTAGTGAGGATGAAGGTGAGACCAGCATAAGATCCTTCAGGATGAACTAAAGCATGAAAGACAGCATTCTTATTTTGAGATCTTAAAAGTATCTCCAATGAATGTCAGAAAGTATCAATATATAAGTAAATAGAAACAGAGAAAACAGATTACTGTGTTCCATATATTTCACAAATGCCTTAACTTTTTTGAATTAAGCTCTTTATTTATTTTTTTATTTTAGAGTTGTGGGGTGAGAATTTACTGCATAAGTAGATTGCATGCGGGTGAAGTTTAGGCTTCTAGCTGGCCCTTTCTCCTCCTGATTGAATTAAGTTCCTTATTAAACTGTTAATAAGGATTTGGCAAGGTTCAGTGGTTCATGTCTGTAATCTTAGCACTTTGGGAGGCTGAGGTGGGATCACTTAGCCCAGGAGTTTGAGTCCAGCCTGGACAATATAGCAAGATCCTGTTTCTGGGGAAAAAAAAAAAATTATCTGGGCCTAGTGATGTGTGCCTATAATCCCAGCTACTCAGGAGGCTGAAGCAGGAGGATCACTTGAGCCCAGGAGTTCAGGGTTGCAACGAGCTATGATTGCACCACTATACTCTAGCCCAGGTGACAGAGCGAAACCTTGGCTCTTAAACAGGATATAAGCTATTCTTCATTTGTTTTGTTTAGGTCTTAGAGCTCCCTAAAATACATAAATTGTTTAATCACAGATTCCTAAACTCTACTGGTTTACAGTGACCTTTAATATCTCAGTAGTTTTTTCATGGAGCTTCCTAGGCCAAATGAAATACCTATCACTTCTATTTATTAATTAATTAGGTGATAACAACATAATAACTTAATATTTATATTCTAACGACTTAGAAGCCATTTGACAAAATAATGCACATAAATTGATAGAAAAAATAGTTTTGTTTCATTCTTTATAACCACAATTACTTACTAAAGATACATGTTACCCGTGCACTGAGAAACTTCTTTTAGACCCTAGTGTTAGATTGGACATGGCTACTCTTATTTACTGGTTCAAAATGTTTTCTCAGAGGGCACTTGATTTTTATCATAGCAACCACCAAAAGTCCAATTTTCAAAGATTTGATGTCATCAAAAGAAATAGCACAATCCGTTATGTTGAAGCTGTGCACTACCTCAAGCTACTAGTTAGAATTTAAACTAGTAGTTCATGCAGTGTCCAGCAGATACCACTGTGCTTTCCTCAAAAGCATTAAATATCCCCCAACACCCCTGTGAATTCACCAAAGCAGCCCAGGTCCTCTCAGCCCACAGTTTGAACACCATGGGTTTAGCCAGAAGATCCAGGATCTTCTCATTCTGGAATGGTCTCTGTTCATCTCTGTGCTTGTTTTTAGACATTCAGAATGAGAAGAACTGGAAAATGAAATCACTCTGAAGGTGATGACAGTCTTCACTTTCTGTCCCTCGAAGCATACAAGCCTTTCAGACCGGTTGACAGCTTCTAGATACCCTGTGTTCATTACCTCAATCTTTTAGACACGCTTATCTCTCATAGCCATTTTCAGTTGGCTGAGTTTGCTAAAATCCTGTTGGTGCCTCTCTTGAAGGAATCTTCAGTTGAAAGTTTATATCATTGGTGTCTTTTTCTTTGGGTTCTCAATGATATTATTTGATTCATTGGACTTATTTTCTACTAATGTTCTTTCATGTCAGTTTTCTGGTTTAATTATTTTCTGCATTGGGAAATTGTCATGTTAAGCATATATTTTAGAAATTGTATTTTGGTATGTGAATTATTCTGCCCTAATTTTGAGGTCTGTTGACCTGACTGTTTGTGATTGTTACCAATAATTAATTCAAATCAGACTTCCAAGCATCTTTACTAATCTAAATTATCTCATATCTAACAAACATCCTGGGTACTTTCCCTATGAAATAAAAAAATAAAAATAGGAATGTGACAATGCATAATGATCATGTTATCTTTTTGGTGATTATATTATTTGTCTTATTCCATAACTTTCAAAAAGACTTAACTTAAGTTGTTTTGACTTAATGAGCAAACTGAAGGAAATGAGTAAGACTATTTCTTGCACAGGCCAAATTATGAAAGAATGTCAGAATGGAATTGGAATCTATTCATCAATAGACCATTAACCTTCCAATTTTAGAAGACTTCTTTTCCAAATTTAGAGTCTAAACTTCTCATAGCACATCAAAATAACTGATGCATTTGCACTTACTATACTTCTTGTTGTGATTTGCACAAGCATAAATATATGGATCATGATAGACACATTATCCAAAAGTATAAAAGCAATAAGTTAATTTCTTAAAATATGGTCATTTCAGTATTACATGCATATGTATCAAAACTGTCTTTTATTTTAATTAGGCTAATAGGATTTCCATAATGCTGTGTGTTTCTTTGTGAATCCTGTATATCAAATGTATTGTAATTATGTCAACTAATGACTTTTACTTTAAAAACTATTCAAGCTATGTTCAGGACGAGAATATGGCAAAACCTAAATTATAAATACAAAAGCATATTGTATCATAGCTCTTAATCCTGAATCATGGATAAACTATAACTCTAAAAGCCAGCGACACTGCTTCGAGATTTAGCATGAATTGAACTTAAACGGCATAAACAAAGTTGAGTTCTGTGTCTGGGTTTTCATTAAAAAAACATAAAATGTTAAGTATAAATTTTTCATTCTTTCACTAAAGCATTGACATCTATTTCTGAGACAGATCCCTGGTTTTTTTCTTTAGGTTTTTGTTTGTTTTAGTTGGGGGGGGAAGCGTGAAATTTGCAGATGTATTCCATGGTTACTAATTCAAGCGCTTCATCTTTCTCATGGATGTCTGGCACATTTCACTTAAAATGCATGGTATTGCATGTGCTTTTCCTGTTGCCTTGGCCTCTGCTATATCATTTTTTTGCTTCCAGATAGCGGTGGGTGTGCTCGCAAACGTGCTGCCATGTCTGTTACGCTAACATCTGTGAAGAGAGTGCAAAGTTCTCCAAACCTATTGGCTGCAGGTATAATATCACTAACTCACTGAATATCACACTTGAATGACTTTACCTGACCTTTCTCTTTCCAGACTTATCTTGTTTGGATGAATAAAGTGTCTATAAATACTTTTTGAATGCCCCACAAGTTCTTATATTTCTCCGCCCAAGAACAGCTTCTAACGCTTCTGACTGTTTTTCTTCTACACATAAAAAGCAAAGGAAAATGATATCTTATAGAAAACATTTTAAAAGTCAATCAGAAACAGCAATCACTTGCTAAAAATATGTTGTGTAACTACCAATGTTAATTACTAGCTAAGTTTGTAAATCTCATGAACTTAAGTAATATAGTATTTCATTAAGATAGCTCACCCATTCTTTGGGTTTTTGGTTTTTTTTACACTAAAAATTGCTGGAGGGTGGGGGTTTAAGGAATCTGAAAGAGAAATTTGCAGAAAATTGAATCTTTGTTAATTTGATTATTAAGGATTGCACCAGAATGGTAGAATATTAGTTTTAAAAGACACATTTACCTTCCTTTAATCCAATCAGAAAAGACTCTCCTAATGCATCTTTTTAAATATATCAGAGTCTTGACCCATTAAGATGTAACACAAATAGCCGGGCTTGGTGGCTCAGCCTGTAATTCCGCGCCGTTGGGAGGCCAAGGTGAGCGGATTGCCTGAGCCTGAGGGTTCAAGACCCGCCTGGGCAACTTGGCGAGACTTCATCTCTACAATAAATAAAAAATGACCCGGGCATGGTAGCGTGCGCCTGAAGTTCCAGCTCCTTGGAAGGTTGAGGCGGAAGGATCACCGGAGCCCAGCGGGT